AACGACTGACATCTCCAGAAAACTTGTTTGTACGTGCCTCTTTCCCAAGCCAGCCTCCTTCACTGCTAGTGGGAAAGAGGGTTTTGTTAACGGCCTTGTCGACGGTTTTTCTCAGTTTTTTCTCCACTGTCGTTCCACTTCGCATCTCTATACTCAGTTTCAATCGCCATAATACCCCCTTATTGAGCCCGACTTTTGCCTTTAATATTGAACGAAAAAGAGTTTTCACATCGAACAAAAGAAGTTGTTTAAGTCGAATTTAATTACAGATGAATTTCGGGCGATGTTCCTTACAACCTGGTAATTTCAGTGTTACATTGGATGAGAACTAGATAAAAGTATTTATCGCATCTCTTCATATCACAATAACTGAACACAAACCAGTGCGCAACGCAAAAAAAATTGTTTAATCACCCGAACATAAGCCATGGCACCTTTTCGTGGATCAGAGAATCTCAACAACCAATACCAAGATCGAATCGAATATACATAGCCACACTTATCACTGTCACTGATAAAATAATCTAGGTAGGGCATTACTCTCACAAGCATTCACAATTGAAGGGAAACTACCGCAAATCACAACCTAAACTTCGCGCATTACTGAAGTATGGGATGCCGTAATTTTCAACAAAAAACAAATATTTCCTCATTATTTCCTGAAGAACATTTAATCAGATCCGACGAGAATAAAAGCTATTTCACCTGACAATCTGAGTCGCGCAGAGCACTAAGCCCCATGTACGACTTAATCGGACTTCTCCTGCCTGTCAACAGGGCGTAATGGATATATCTCATCGATGGGCGTAGCGCCAATAAACCGCACACTGCGTTGAGTCATCTCAGATGTTCCATCCATATATTCCTGAAAAAGGGTACAATAAATCCGAAAAAACATGGTAGTTGATCGCAATGGTGTACCATCTTGATATTCAGTTTGAAGGGTCATATCAGTAATGTAATAAATCAGCTCCTACCTACCAGATTATATCAGCCTTCATTGGTAAAAATGTATTTCAAGGGAGCCATTCATATCAAAACAAAGTGAAGTTGTGGAAAGGCACTGATATCTTATCAAAAAACATATCTTTTACTCAGACGGGTGGCCTACGATTACTACACCACACTTATTGTCACATTCTTCTCCTTCGTATCACTGTATGGCGAAAATGGCTGCCACCTTGCTTGACCCTTCATTTTCACTAAATTTTCTTGCGACCGCCATGCGATTCCTTAACGAACTGCATTTCAGGTATCCGACTTCGTACAGAATCCTGGGCTGGTATCCCCATCTACCGAACAACATCATCACCGCCTTCACTATTTCAGATCCCAAACTCAACTTCAATCTCAAGAAATTAAAGGCTGAGAATGAAGAGCAGCCCTCACAAAGTTGTGCGAAACATTTTTTCAATTAGGGAAGCGCTCAAATGTTCGGCTATGCCTTGTCTGGCCCAACCCTTCTTTCAAGTAAATCAGAAAGGGTGGTGTCAGAGTCCCTGGTCCGTCGCGCGACTGATCACAGAAATCACAGCTGCCCCAATCAATACTGCGAGGAGCTCTCAAATACCGTCTCCATTTCTGCTTGATGTGGTGATGGTTGAGTGACAACTGTTCATGACTATACTTGTTTCCGATTCGGGTCAGTGTTTGAGTGATCTGATGAGTCAGTGATTCGAATGTTCAGATGGAGCACTTGCGACCTTTGCGATTCGCGCGAATCGCGTGAAGGATCGCGGACTCGGATACCCCAAAGACGTTCGAGCCTTTCAGTTAGGTATGGTCAGGTTTGACCACCACAGCTGTGTGGTGACCAGAAACTAAGCTTAGGCTTAGCCTTAGATTTGCTGTGAGAAAATCTGAGGTGATTGGAATGCAGGTGACCTCACCTAATCTGAAAACTTGACACACTCCGCGAACTATACTTTAATCGACCACATAGAGCAAACTAATAGAATACCTTGAAGTAGCCTCATCACTAGCTTTCAAATCGCTCGCACAGTGGATACATGTATAACGACAAGGAATTACTCGACCAGAGACGCAACACTCTCACAATAATTCGTATCAATAGGTTCTTTCAAGAAAAACGGTATCATCTCATGTATAAAAACTGAAAAACTGACGTCCAATCTTGTGACAGCCTGTAAGAACAACGGTGGCGAGTGCCCTGCTTTCCTTTTTGTAAATTTTCCCTATCCACTCCGCATATTCTTGTACATTACCGGAAGAGGGCGGACAAGCCCCCATCATCGGAACGGTCTTTTTTCTCTTTCGCTTTTTCCTCTGTCATTTTTCCCCTCATTATTGCTATGCATCTCCATTCCATTTCTGTGCTTCTCATATGTTGCTACTCATCGAGCTGAATGAATTCCAAAGTTTTACTTGGAGTATTTGACTTCCATTTCGGCGTCCATCTACGTTAATCGACAAAGACAAAGCTAGTCTGACCTCGAACAAACCGATCTTACAAGACAGCTGTCACTCACCCTATATTGCTGCGCCATTTCAGGGTTGTCCTGCAGTAGTACCACCTCTTCGGCACAGCATAGCATAATAGTATCAATTGCCATTTCATAGACAGATAAGAAACAGTTTGCGATTTGATAAGAACAAATGAATGTGATCAGCAAAGGAAACCATGGATGTGACAGCGACGGCCAGATCTGAAGTGAGGAAGATTCTTCGACCGATGGGCCCAAAAGAGAATATTGTCAGAGCTCTTAAGATACCTCCTCCATACGGAAAAATGCATATATTGTCGTTCCACCAGCTACTAAGCATTTTGTGAGAAACAGCACCAGGCTACCAATAGTGTTCACTGCCGCAACATCAACAGCATTATCAAGTAGGTGATTGACGGCCTACATTAGATAGGTGATGCATGGTGACGACTGAACAAGAGTGTATATTTTCAGAATTTTCATCTCACAATTTTCGCAGCCGGGCAGAAGCTGAATCCGGAATATGATATAACGGTGAAAACGTTGTAGTTGATGTACTGAAGACATTTCTCCACGGCTCCTAATATGCACACAAAACAACTCAAAATCTTCTTCAGAATCACATTCTCAACTGAGCGCATTCTGTAATAAAAAAAACCTCTATCTTTCACGAGTCATACACAGAGTTTTCTTAGTAAACAACTTTTGATACCTTGCGAGCGTCCATATTATGATGTAGCGAGGAACGCGTACGAGCGTGATGATAAAAGCACCGAGTGCGGCGGATCCTAGATGATACCTAAGAAGATTCCACAGTGAGCCGCACAACGGTGACCGAGGAGTTGGAGAGGCGAACCGACGTGACATTGACAGCCTGCAACTCCTTTCAGATGTTTTCTCACTCCGAGACCGCAGAAATCACCCTTTATTTCTTACACCGCCTGTTTTAAAATTTCAAGCTCAAGAATAAGCAAAAGAAACCTAACATATCTCCATAGAGCAAAAAAGCTGTTACTGAGCACCTCACGCGCAAGTCAGCGCGCAAGCGTCGCAAATCATAAAGAAAAACAACAGGTGCGGTATTTTCGGGCTAGATCAGAGAAAACCCAAAAAGGGGTGAAGGAGAACCGATAGGTAGTAAAATTAGCTATGCCAGTGAGTCAGCAAACGCACCACCTCCTTTTCAGCTGCATGCGCAAGACAACGAGCATTTTTATATGAGCCCTTCTGTAAACCTTCACAGACCTGAACCAAGTCAGAGCAAGGCTCTGGTTTTTCATATTTTCGCAGCCGTGCAATGATTATTCGACCAGCAGCTCTTAATTGAGAAGCTCATGGTAGCGCCGTCATCTTGGAACATGTTTTGCATTCAAAACGTGAAAGCTCAAACTCTTGCG